GGGGGGGGGGGGGGGGGGGGGGGGGGGAGAAAGAGGCAAAGGTGAGCCGGAGGCCGCATCTAGATGGGGGCCCAGGAAAGAACGTTAGGTATGGGCCTTTTAGTTTTTCCATTAGCTAAACAAAAGCCAGTTTCATTTCTGGTGTGCATGTTTGGTGAGTGTGGTGTATGAGTGCTTGTGCCAGTTTCAAAGGATGCAGGCTGTGCACACTCGATCACTCTACCGATTCCCTGAGACAAGGTCTCTCACCCTATCTGGAGCTAGGCTGGCAGCCAGCAAGACTCAGCAATCCTCCTGTCTCCACCCATAGTTATTATTATTATTTTTTAACCAGGTCATTGGGATTAGAACTCAGGCCCTGACCGTTTGGGCAAGCCATTCACTTAGCTACTTAGCCAACTAACCTACTGAACCATCTCTCCAGTCCTTCCTTCCTCTTCCCTCCTTTTTCTCTTTCCTTTGATCTCTCTCTCTCTCTCTCTCTCTCTCTCTCTCTCTCTCTTTCTCATCTTGCGGTCTAGGCTAGCCTATGAAGCTGGTCTTGAACTCCAGATCCTCCTGCCTCCACATCCCAAATGCTGGGTTTGAGCTACCACAAGTAGCCTTAAAATTCTCATACCCCCACCCCCACCGGCTGCTAGAGATGGCACGCAGGATCTTGTGCTTGCTAGGTAAGTGCTCTGCCACCAAGCCCTAAAAGTCAACTCCAAACTGTTTTAGGCCTATCAGTAGAAATGAAAACTACACTCCTTCCCTTAAAGCCATTAAGATGGAAAAGATTACGTATCTATGAACTCTCCTTACACTAAGTAACCTAAGTGTAGTCACACTAGGTGGCCTGGAGGGCAGAGTCAAGGACCCACCCAGGAGCTCAGCCAGCTGGGAAATCAGAGAAGAGTATTGTTCATCTTTTGACTTATTTACCCAGTAAACATCTATTGGTGGTTTGTGTTAGCCTCCTTCTTCCACAGGGTACAATGGTGAACAGAGCTCTTCTGATGCTTATCTGCTATTGACTGAGATGATGACCAACAAATAATAAATACTAGTAATGAGAAATGTCACAGAAAAGAATGTTCCTAGCAGGGAGAATGGTCAGACATTGCAAAAGCTCTGTGGTGGGAGTGAGGTTGTTGTGTGGTCCTAGGAGCGAGGCCAGACTTCTGTGATAAAAAGCAGGAGCAACTCTGTCTCTCTTCCTATGACCTCCCCTGCCTGCCCTGCCCCCCCCAACTTGATAACCTGGACCTGTCCCCAGAGTAAGATTAAAGGGCAGGTCAGCCAGGGAGCAGTCTGGATCTAAAATGTCATCACATTTTCCTTGGAATAATTCTGATCTGGTGCCAGTAAATTCTGGTTCCTGCCTTTTGGTAACATGTAACTTGGCAACTTGGCTCCTATCTAGTGATGCAGCCAGAATTAGTTTTAAATTTTATTTTATTACTTTTATGTGTATGTATGTGCTGTGCTTTGTACTGCACATGACTGCAAGTGCCTGCAGAGGGTGTCAAATGTCCTGGAGATACAGGCAATTGGGAGCTGCCTGATTGTGTGAGGTGATTCTGGAATAGCAGTACGTGCTCTCAACAGCATCATCTCTGTAGTCCCCAGTCAGAATTCTTGAGCCCTTACCTGGACCATATCGGGAGTAATTTGCAGAACACAGGTGCAAGCTGCAGGGTGTGGACTGGAGACCAGCAAACTGACGGCTGCACAAAGGCTGCAGTCACACCAGGCATTGTGCAAATGCTTCTTGTGCTGTCACGTGGCACTCCCCCTGACGGTGATTTATACTGTCTACACCAAGAGGTGTCTTCTGAAAATGACATCTCTAATATAAAGAGGCTCCTATGGTTTTTAAACATTTTTATTTTTTTTACTAGTGTATGTACCTGTGTGTGAATGTATGTGTGTATGGGTGCCACAATGCAAGTGTGCCAGAGACAGTTTTCTTTTTTGTTTTTGACAATGTATATATAGTCCAGCTGTCCTAGAACTCACTATATAGGCCAGTCTGGGTTCGAACTCACAGAGGTCTGCCTGCCTCTGTTTTCCAAGTGCTGGTATTAAAGGATTAAAGACCTGTACCGTAGCTGGGCATTGGCAGTGCACGCCTTTAGTCCCAGCACTCGGGAGGCAGAGGCAGGCTGATCTCTGTGAGTTTGAGGCCAGCCTGGTCTCCAGAGCAAGTGCCAGGATAGGCTCCAAAGCTACACAGAGAAACCCTGTCTCAGGAAAAAAAAAAAAAAAAAAAAAGACCTGTACCACCATGCCTGGCCAGAGGACAGCTTTTGGGAGTTGCTTTTTTCCTTCCGTCTGTGGGTCCCAGGGCTTGGATCAGCTTGTCAGGCTTTGAAGGCAAGCACTTTTACCTGCAGAAACATCTCTCAGTCCTCTCCTACTTTTTATTCCAAGATCACATTTCCCCCATTTCTGCAAAGCAAACATTCGACAGATATTTAAATAACCGTGGTTTGAAAGGCTGCCAAGTGAGGAATGTGCCCAGGGTGGCACAGGCCTGGTTGTTTTTTCACCTAGCAACTCGGACTCATTGTTAACAACTCCTCAGCCAATGAGGGATCTGAGCTGTGAGTGGGCTTGTTGATATCTGGGTACACACTTGGCTGTACCCACAGGTGGCCTTCATTGGTATGCATTGGCTTCCTTGGTTTGTTTTAGAGGCTGACATGGCACCAACTCTTGAGATAGGACTGCAGAATTTACTGGCCGGACAGTGGGAGCTTGAGGTGAAGAGCAGTAAGTACAGCCTGTAGGGTAGGAGAGTTAGGAAACAGAATGAAGGCGAGGAAGAGAGGGCGCTCAGGAGGGCACTTTACATTGTAGGGTACACTCAAGTGCTCAGAAAGCAAGGGCCACTCGGAGGACCAGGGGCTGATTCGAGGAGGAGGAGGAGCCCAGCGGAGGGGAAGATGCCTGGGTGCCAGCAGGCTCTGAGGTCCTCTCGGTCTGACCAGGCAGGCAGCCTCAGCTCCAGCCAGGCCTCTGGCCCCTCCCCACGGCCGGCCAGAGTCACACATGTGTTTTCCTGTTTTCCATTTCAGTCCCGTCACCCTCTGCCTTTTCTGCTTCTCAGAGTCAACAGCTGCTGAAGTCACACCCCTGGTTCTCTTAGCTACCACCCCTCACCCCAGTGGGCTCACAGCCCCCTCCTCCCTGCACTTGCCCAAAGGTCTCCAGACAGGTAAGAGGTGGGAGAGCACAGGAGGCTGGAGTACCTGGAGATTGGTCAAGGGGAGACGGAAGAACCTTATTTCTTGGCCCCTAGCCTTGGCCCTGTCTAGGTAGAGCCTTGTGTCCCGAGACTTCAGCTTTGGGTTAATGGGAAGTCCTGGGCAGAACAGTAAACAGTTTCTTTTTCTAATTCACTTTTTCTTTTTAAAGGGACGGTCTTAGTTATAGTGGAATAAAGAGAAACCAATAGAGAGCTGGAGAGGGAGGGGCTGAGCAGCTATTGTGGAGTGATGAAGAATCTATCTGCACTAGCACGTATCTGTTTTGTTTCTCTCGTTAAGGGGGGCACATGAACCTGCTGGATAGCGGAAAGTAAGCCCTAGGGTCTGTGGGGGGAGACAGTGTGTTCTCACAGTAGCTCATGGAGCTTGGCTAGGGAGTCAAGACTCTGAATTGTGTGCAGGTTCCTGGAGGAAGGGTGTTTCAGTGTTGCTGTTGGAGCATGGAGCATGGTAGCTCAACACTGGCTGGCTGCTCTGTGAGACACTCCATGCCTGGTGTCCTGTTGTCTGCTCCCTGGAAGCCCTGGATTGAAAACTTCTCTAGGTTGTAGAGTGAGTGTATGTTCTTCTGGAATGGCCATGATGTCCTCAGAGATGAGCACACTAAAGGAAAGGGGAAATGACAAGGGGCGTGAAGGCTTGCTTCTGGGAAACCTGCTTTGGCTGAGTTCCTTTAGGAGAGCTCCGGGGATGCTGCTTTACCAGGCCACCTGAACCCTGCAAGCGTCACTGTGAGAGCCAGGATCTCAGGGAGGAAAGTGAGCTGCCAGTGCTGGCGTCTTCTTGGCTTTGGTGCTAGACAGTGGTTGAGAAAAGAGGGACATTTCCATGAATGGCAGCCTCCTGTGCCTGACTGGCAGGGCTGGGAAGATAAATCCATTTGGAGTACTTCCTGGTGAGGCCACTAGGGCATGCTGTTTGCTGGGGTGTGGGTTCTGTCCTGGGTTGATCAGACTCAGTTCCTTGAGGATTTCACTTTTATGCCAGCCATGAATTCAACCTCGTGCACAACCCCTACTTCCCTTTTTCCTTTCTTCTTTTCTGGGTTTCACGTTTGAATTTGTACTCCATTGGTGCTGGTGTATTTTGATCCTAAAAGGGCAGGTGTCCTGATGTGTGTTTCTGTGTCTTTAGGAGTGGGCACACTAGATGTCACGGCTAATCCTCACCCAAAATGAGGAGCAGCCTGAAGGCAGTGACAGTGTCCCCTCCCGTCCCGTGTCTCCCCTTCCCTCCTTCCCCTCCCCCTCTGCCCCCGCCCATTGCCGCCTATAGACTGCAAGGGCTTTCCTTTTAATCAGATATCAAATCCCAGGCTCCTTCTAGGTAACTCATTAGGGAGCCACCTGGAGTGGTTTCCTGTCTGAAGGGAAGGCCAAGCGACCAGCAAGCTCTGGAGAGCCGGAAGTTGAGAAGATAGCATAGCTCTGTGATCTTTGTTGCCTGCCTGCCTCCCCTCTACGTTGGCACCCAGCAGAGTGTATGGTACCTGCCTCATGGGGCTCACAGTTCAGAGAGATAACGGACTGAAATGCGTAGCAGTATGTCTGGCCTGGACAAGAATTCAAGCAACACTAGCACTGCTTTTATGGAAGCCTTTTGGGGGATGCTGGGAGAAAAGGACAGCATCTTTCAGATGTATGTGGTACTGTCTTGTGAGAAACATGAGCTTCAATTTTTTTTTATTTTATTTTTATGTGTATGGGTGTTTTGCCTGCATGTGTCTGGGTGCCATTTATGTACAGTGCCCATGGACTCCAGAAGAAGGCCTCAGAACTGAAGTTGTGAGCCGACATGTGGTGTGCTGGGATTTGAACCTACGTCTTCTCAAGAACGGCCAGTGCTCTTAACTACTCTCTCCATCCTCAGGCAGGGTCTGTGCAAGGCCTAAGCCCACCATTCTATCTAGATTTAGTTAGAAATTTTAAGGGGCCAGAATGGGAAGGTGAGCTGTAGAGATTAACCTCCAGGGTACTTTAGAATAACCAGAAAGGGGTAGGAAGGATAGAAGAAAGGACAGAAAGTTCTGTTTCAGAACAGGTAGGTTGCCAAAAACGACTTGGAATACCAGATTTGAAGCAGACTATAAAGACAGAATAAACTATGATTTCCAAAATATGGAACCTTTTCTGTTTATTCCGGGCCTGCCTAGCATAGCTCAATGAAACCTTATTTCCACACTTATTTGTGTGTATAGGGTAGGTTAGCACTCTACCACTGAGTGACACTCCAGCCTTCCATATATATGTATATACTTTTTATTAACTTACTGCTTATTATTACCATTATTGAGACAGGGTTTCTCAGTGTAGCCTTGGCTGCCCTGAAACTCACTCTGTAGACCAGGATGCCCTTGAACTCAGAGATTTGCCTGCCTCTGCCTTCCACGTGCTGGGATTAAAGGCATGAGCCACCACCTCCCCTCATAGGAATTTTTGGATGCTACAGAGGTATATTTCCTTAAGGATGAAAGAGCACACTGGTGGGATGGAGTTGTTTGTACCCAGAAGTTTGATCTCATTTCTGGACCATATTTCTTTTGAAATAGCTTGAGGCTCAGCCTTCGGGGTGATGGCCTGAGTTTAGAGGCTGTCAGCTTCTCTCTGCATGGGGAAGTGTACAGAGCTCTTACTTAGGGCGCCCACACAGGGTGTCTGAACCTCTCTCACACTTCCTGTAATCTCAGCATGTGAACAATGTGTCACATTCTATAGCCTTCCTGCCTTTCTTGTTTGGGGTGAGAGAGGAATGAGGTTTGGGTGGGACATCAAGGACACTGGCGCAGGGGTCTGGGCCACCGCTCTGTCCTAGCTAACTTGCTAGACACTCCAGGGTTGCAGAGGACACACCCAGTTGCCCATCCCTTCCCCCTGGGCCTCCTGTCCTGGGGCAGAGCTGACAAAGGAGACTCCTGAGTGAGCTCCTTCTTATCACTGAAAATGCTGAGCCAAGAGCTCCTAGCTGCCCCTTTCGCAGATGTGAAAGGCCCGTGAACCTTGGACCCAGATGGTTGCTTAACACTCCTCTGCCTTTCCCTCACCCCTTCCTTTTCTAGCTCCCTCACCACCTCCTCCCTTCTTGACCTGTCTTAAATCGGGTAGGCATTTGTCTAGGCTTCCCTTTGACTGTTGGAGGAAGGAGGAGCAGGCCAGACCACTGTTCTTGCAGGGTGCCGTCTTTGTCTCTGTGACTGCTGCTGGCCATTGCTGTGGGAACCCTACTTACATCCAGAGCCAGGGAGTGAGTGTGCCCCACCCTGTCCCCTCGATAACCCCTCTCTGCTGTTCTGCATGTCCAGTCACTTCCTCAGCTCCCGAGCCTCTTGCTCTAATGTTTCCCCATTTGTCTGACTAAGCTTTCCTCGTTCGTGCAGCTGTCAATAGCTCTGTATTTCCAGGCATCTGCTGCCTGGCTTTAGCTCTTTCCTTTCCTTGGTTTGGTCTGGTATGTCTCCAGCAGTTCTGTGGTGGGTGGGCATCCACCACCACTGCCTCCAGTCACCTCTGGGTTCTGCTGTGTATTTCGGCCACCCTTCTGAAAGATCATCCCTACTTTTTGGCTGGTGTGAATGCGAGTGATTTGGTGGCAGGAGTCCTGGGATGATAGAGGCTGGGACAGGTATCTGGAAAAGGAAAAGCGATGTAAAGAGAATTGCCTGTCTCTTTATTCGAGATGGGTGGGGCTGCCTGGGCTTTGCCAGCATCGGAGATGCCAGATGACCGTTTGTTAATGGATGTTCCGGAGCAGGGAGGTGGCTGTATGTCCCTAGCAGGAACATTTTAAAAGCTTCGGGCTTGCATGCAGTGTCCTTAGGGGAGAGAGCAACATATCAGCAAAAAGAGGATCTAGCAAATTAGTTGCTTGCAGGGCTGGTTCCTCATGTAGACATCTCAGTATATCGACATTTGAAACTGAAATTGGAGGGAAGACAGGCTTTTTGGGGGCTATAGGGGGTGGAGAGGCAGGGGAAAAAAGGCTCAAGCCACTATGGTTATATGGAGAGCTACTAAACTGCCTTATGCCTGCCCTGTGTCACAGTAAGTCAGGATTTAGTTGGCAGGTAAATAAGGTATGTTACATCTGAAGGACGAAAGACTGGGGTGCTTTGCTTTTCTTCTTGGGGAAAAGCCAAGTTGGAGTCATTTGACAAGGCTTAGGAGAGGAGGTTTTTGGGAAGTCAGAAGTGAGAAAAGGTCTCTGAATTGTGGGTGCTGACTGTCTGGGTCCCTGTGGAGGGGGAGGGAGAGATGCCATGCGGTTACCAACCCATTCCTTCTTCCTTAGAGGGCAATGCAAGCAAGCTGGTGAAGACCTTTCTTCTCCCCACCATGGTCGACAGCACCAAGTATGAAGTGGCTGCCCAGCATGAGGAAAATGCCTCTGCTCTGGGAGACAGGGCCAGCCCGGTGGCCGAGCAGGTAAAACTGAAGAAGGAGATCTCACTACTAAATGGCGTGTGCCTCATAGTAGGGAACATGATTGGCTCCGGCATCTTTGTCTCCCCCAAGGGAGTACTCATGTACAGTGCCTCTTTTGGCCTCTCACTGGTCATCTGGGCTGTTGGGGGCATTTTCTCCGTCTTTGGGGCCCTTTGTTATGCCGAACTGGGTACGACCATTAAGAAATCTGGGGCCAGCTATGCTTATATCCTGGAGGCCTTCGGGGGATTTCTTGCCTTCATCCGCCTCTGGACTTCTCTGCTCATCATTGAACCCACGAGCCAGGCCGTCATTGCCATCACCTTTGCCAACTACATGGTGCAGCCTCTCTTCCCGAGCTGTGGTGCCCCCTATGCTGCTGGCCGCCTGCTGGCTGCTGCCTGCATCTGTAAGTAGAGATGGGGCAGGAATGGTGATGTAGAGGACTGGGCAGAAGGGGGGTGTCAGTCCAGTCAAGGAGGAGTTGGGGATGAATGCCTATGTCATTTTTTTAATTATAAAAATCAATGTATACTGTGGGAGCTTAACAAGCCCTCAAGTGGAGGCTCTGAGTTTAACCACCAGTACTACCCCTAAAAAGTTTTGTGTGAAAATTCAGTTCATCTTAGTTTAAGGGTTGGCAAGGTAAGCCCAGTTAAGAGAGAGTTTGCTCAGCATGCTTGAGACTGTGGGTGTGATCCCCAGCACCGAATAAACTGTGCATGGTGCTGCCTGTAACCCCACCATATGGGAGGTGGAGTCCTCTTAAGGGTCAGGAGTTCAAGGTCATTTATTCGTTTGGTGCTAGCCGTGCATACAAGAAACTCTGTCTCAAAAAGCAAACAAATAGGTTGAATGTGATGGATCGATCACACCTTTAATTCCAGAAGGCAGTTAGATAGGTTTCTGAGGCCAGCCTGGTCTACATAGTGAAACCCAGTCTCAAACAAACAAAGAATTCAATACAGTGTTAAAAAATAAAGAAAGAGCTGGGCAGTGGTGGCACATACCTTTAATCCCAGCATTTGGGAGGCAGAGGCAGGCAGATCTCTTTGAATTTGAGCCAACCTGGTCTGCGGAGCTAGTTCCAGGACTGTCAGTCAGGGCTACACAAAGAAATTCTGTCTCAAAAAACAAAACAAAACAAAAAAACAAAAAAGGAAGAAAGCAGCCCGTCCACCTCACCTTTCCCTAATTCTGGCTGCTTGTAGCAATTAGTATATTCTCATGTTCTTCCTAATTGTTCTCCTTTAAGAATAGTTTTGTTGTTGGTTTTTTTTTTCTTTAATGAAGTAAGACAAAACCATTGCTTGTAATTCTTAGCATTTATCAGATTATCTAGCTGCCGGTTCTGTTCATGGCTTTGAACAGTAGCTCCAGTTTCTCAGATTTGCAGGTGATTATGGGTAATGGTACAGTGCATTAGTTATCCATTTAATTTATGCACTTTTAGTTTTTTCCCTTCTTTCCTTTCCCCCCCCCCCTTTTTTTTTTTTTTTTTTTTTTTTTTTCCTTCTGAGACAGAGCCTTGCTGTATAGCACATACTGACCTGGAACTTGGCATCTTCATGGCTCAGCCTCTGAAGTACTAGGACTGTAGGCGTGTGCCACTGTGCCTGGTTCATGAATGGTTTTTAACTATATATATATACTGACACACCGTCGCTGTATGTATTATGGGATACAGTGTGGTCTTTTAATCCATGTGCACAGCATGGATCATCAGCCATGTGGCTGGCTTTGCTGTCATTTCATAGGTGTGTCATCATTTCTTTGTGTTGGGAATGTTCAAAATCCTCTCAGCTATTCTGAAACGTTCAATACATTGTTGTCAACCACTCTCTGACCATGCTGTAGAATCTTAGTTGTTATTTGTCGTTTCCAGTTGTACCCTGTGCTGCCAATCATCCTATCCCCACCCCTTGGCTTCCTTTTCCCTTCCCAGGTTCTGGTAGCCCTTCTCCTCCCCCTCCTCCTTACCTGTTCTATTATCACTTTTTAAATTTTTTTATTATTTTTAAATTTTTATTATCTTATTATTTTTAAAAATTAAGACAGGCTCTCATTGTGTAACCTTCTCTGGCCTAGAACTTGCAGCATAGACTAGGCAGGCTTCAAACCTGGTTCTGTCTGTCAAGTTTCATTCATGTTCAGGATTGCTCTAGCTCTTAAGCACCCCAACCAAAAAACAAACAAACAAACAAACAAAAACAAAAACAAAAACAAAAGCAAAACTGGTGCACAAGCAGAAACCAGAGGAAGATGTCAGGAGTTCTGATCTCCCACTGTCTACCTCAGTCCACCGAGGTGCACTGAGACAGGGTGACTTTCTGAACCTGGACTGAAGCTGGTGGCCGGCAAGCCTGGTGATGCCTTTGTGTCTGCCACCGACAGTGTGACCCTGTCTAGACTTGGGTGTGGGTTCTGAGGATTTGAACTCGGATCCTTATGCTTAGCTGTGGAGCCATCTCCCTATTCGGTTGTGATTGTTTTTTCCTCTCTGTGAAGAATGTCATTGTGTATTCTGCACTGACACTGTAAGCTGCTTTGTGTAATATAGACATACATTTTAGCACTGTTCTTCAATCTGTGAACATTTTTCCTTTCTTTCTTTCTTTCTTTCTTTGTTTCCTTCCTTCCTTCCTTCCTTTGCTTCCTCCTCCTCCTCTTCTTTTTTTGTTTTGTAAGACAAGATCCCTCTATGTAGCCCTGTCTGCCTCAACTCACAGAAATCTATTTGCTAGGATCAAAGATCCTTCTCTCTCTCTCTCTCTCCCCTCTCTCTATGTGTGTTCTCTTTAGTTTTCATGTGTGTATATGTGTATCCTCTTTAGCTTTAAGTGTTATTTTGTGATTTTAATTGTAGAAATCAACAATTTCCTGTTTACATTTATTTCAGGGGCCTTGTTTCTGGAAGCTATTGTGAGAATGGGTCTTGATTTGTCTTCCAGAAGTTTCAGTATTAGTGTAGAAAAGAGCTAATTGCTAGCTTTATATTTTGCAACCTCACTGAATTTGTCATTTCTAACAGTTTTGGACTGGAGTCTTGAGTTTTTCCGTGTATAACGTAGTGTCATGTGCAGACAGGGATAGTCTGACTTCCTCTGCCCTGTTTCAGTCCTCCTCATTTCTTCACTCACTCTGCTTCTGTGGCAACACTTCTCATTCTGTACTCTGTAAGAGTCAAGCAGGCATGGTGGAGCATGCCTGGAATCAGTTCAAAGTCATTCATTTTTTTTTAAGATGAGGTCTGACTATGTAGTTGAGCCTGGCCTCAATTTGCTTTGTGACCGAGGCTGCAAGCACTGGAATATTTGCATTTATTTATCTTTGTGTGTGTGTGTACACCTTCACATGTGATGTGGGTATGTCAGTGCCACAGTTTGTGAGTGGAGTCAGAAGACAAATTAGGTGTTGGTTCTTGTCATCTGCTTGAGAAAATGTGTCGTTAAAATTGTTATTTTTTTAAAATAATTTCATACATTTATACAATGTATTTGGGTCATTTTCAATCCTTGTTACCCCCTCCCCTCCCCTTGTCTCCTCTCCTCTCCTCCTCTTATGAACCCACGTCTTTTTCTCAACAAGTCCCCCTCCCATTTCTTTTTTGTTGGTTTATTTGCTGAGTTTAATAAGGCTTGCTTGCCTGAACATTTGTGGGGAGTTATTTACTGGTGCATGGGCTAGACCATTGAAGAAAAGAAATAATTCCTCATCCTCCAGCAACCTTTAACACCGGAGGGTCCCCTGGGGACAGGAGCCCTCCCCAGTCCCTGATGCAGTGTTGACTGGCTCCACCTTGAGCAGCTTTGCTCCAAGAGTTCATGAGTGCAGTGACACGTGACGTCTAGAGGAGTTTCACAGCCCCTCGAGTTTCACAGCCCTTCCCCCATCCTCCAGCTCTTACTTTTTTTTTTTTTTTTTTTTTTCTCGAGACAGGGTTTCTCTGTGTAGCTTTGGAGCCTATCCTGGCACTGGCTCTGGAGACCAGGCTGGCCTCGAACTCACAGAGATCCAACTGCCTCTGCCTCCCGAGTACAGGATTAAGGGCATGCTCCACCAACACCCGGCTCTCTTACATTTTTTTTTTCTTTTTTTGCACCCTCTTTCCTGAGATGTCCCTTCAGCCTTGGAGCAGGTGACATAGGTGTCCTGTTTAGGGCTGAGCACTCACTTGTTCTCAACACGTTGACCAGCTAGGAGTCTCTGCAAAAGGAGCTTCTCCGACCAAGGCTGAGAGCAACACTAATCTGTGCTTATAAATATTGAGATTTAGAAGGCAGTTGGATACTATGTCCATTTAGCAACACAACACTAATAGGTTTTCCCCTATGGCCTATGACCTCCTGTACCATAGGCTTCAGACAAGGTTTACAGTACCAGGCGTGGATTCCCTCCTGTAGAGCTGGCCTCAAATCCAATCACAAAGTGTTTGGTTAACCACATAACAGTCACATCCTCTGTTGTGCCAAAGGGGACATCTTGCCTGGTAGGTGGGCATTGTAGCACACACAGTTCACAGCTGGGTAAGATCATGGATGACTTTTTCTTTCCTAGCCACAAACATTGCACCTTCTGGCACTGAGAAAGCTACCCAGCAGGGAGGAAGCTTCCAGATCAATTCTAGCCCGGTTTCTCTCACTATGCAGCCCTGGCTGTCCTAAATTGTGTGTGTGTGTGTGTGTGTGTGTGTGTGTGTGTGTGTGGTTTTTGGGTTTCATTCTTCAGGAGCTGTTTGCCTTTTTTTTTTTTTTTTTTTTTTTTTGAGACAGGGTTTCTCTGTGTAGCTTTGGAGGCTATCCTTTAACTCACTCTGTAGACCAGGTTGGTCTCGAACTCACAGAGATCCACCTGCCTCTGCCTCCCGAGTGCTGGGATTAAAGACATGCACCACCACTGCCTGGCTGTGCTGGAATGTGTTATGTTTGCTACTGGAGGAGAAAAATAATGGTCGGTATGAACTATGAACCTTGAGAACTACAGTAATAATCTGTCTAGCAAGATATGCCCACAGTTACAATAGTGGCATGAATGTGATAGGGATAACCAGCTACTTTCTGATGGGATTTAAGCCTGATCTACAGGACTTGAGAGATAGCTCATCAATACAGTGTATGTGCTGATTTTGTAGTGGACTCAGGCTTGATTCCCAGAACTCACTTGGGAGCTCAACAAACAACAGTCTGTAACTCTATTTCCAGGGGATCTGAGGCCTTCTTCTGACCTACATTGGCAGCAGGTATGCATATTGTACACAGACAAACATGTAGGCAAAACACTCATACACATAAAAAACAAACAAACAAAACTCAAAAAGCCTATTCCATGAGATGGAACCCATTCCTGGCATTATCATCAGGTCCATGACGTGTGGCTAGATAGGTCAGTGACCCTGGGGAGGCCCTACTA